ACACGGGGAATTCGCCTGAATCCATCCGAAGGGTAGAAATTATAGCTATATGCCGAATTCCAGCTGAATTGGGTGAATTAACTGTGCAACAAAGGTAGAAATCCTGATGAACGGAGTCATTTCTTCACACTGCTCCCCTATAAGTCCATAGGTCGGCATACCCGCCTAGACCCTGTCGGGTTGGCTTGGGGATGTCCGATGAAAGTACGTTTTTAGGTGTCCAGTTCGGTCTGGCGGGACAGTCCATCCGCATTCCCATTTTGTTTACCCGGACGGTACTGCATGGTAAAATTGTATGGTTGGAGAGCTAGGCTCCACCGGAGTAGCCTGGGGTTGTCACCAGCTACCCGGTTGAGCCATACCAGGGGGTTGTGGTCGGTCATAAGGGTAAACGCTCGCCCATACAGATAGGGCTGAAGTTTCTTGAGGGCCCACACGAGGGCCAAGCACTCTTTTTCTACGGTGGCATAGCTGACTTCTCGGGGCAAAAGTTTACGGCTGAGGTATGCCACCGGGTGTTCCATGCCATCCGCCCCCACCTGGCTTAGCACGGCTCCCAGCCCAAACATGGAGGCATCTGTGTGGACAAGAAATTGTTTAGTGTAATCGGGTGCTGCCAACACAGGGGCCTCACTCAAGGCCGTTTTGAGCTTCTGGAAAGCGTCCGTGCACTCTGGGGTCCAGGAGACCTGTTTGGGAAGGGCCTTTTTGGTAAGGTCCGTGAGGGGCTTGGCCAGGGCGCTATATTCTGGGACGAACTTCCTATAATACCCGGCCGTCCCTAAGAAAGCCAGTACCTGGGTTTTGGTCCGAGGTTGGGGCCAGTTAGCTATGGCTTCTACCTTAGCGGGCTCTGGGCGTTGTCTACCGGAGCCGACACGGTGGCCTAGATACTGGACCTCGGCTAGGCCTACGTGACACTTGTCGGGTTTCAAAGTGAGCCCGGCGAGGTGGATTCGTTCGAGTACCCTGGACACATGACCCAGATGGTCTCCCCATGTGCGGCTATAGATGGCAATATCATCTAGATACGCACATGCGAAGTCCTGCAACCCCTCCAGGAGCCTATCCGCCATCCGCTGAAACGTAGCCGGGGCGTTCTTCATCCCAAAGGGCATAACCTTGAATTGGTATAGCCCAAACGGGGTGACGAACGCCGACTTGGGGATGGCCGCAGGCTCCAGGGGGATCTGCCAATAACCCTTGCACAGGTCCAGGGTAGTCAAGTAGTTCCCCCCCGCCATACGATCTAAGAGCTCATCTATTCTAGGCATGGGGTAGGCATCGGTTATGGTACGGTCGTTAAGCCTCCGGTAATCTACACAGAAGCGCGTAGTGCCATCGCGCTTCGGTACTAGTACCACCGGGGAGGCCCAAGGACTTTGGGAGGGTTCTATTACCCCTAGCCGTAACATATCCCTTAACTCGGTGAGCATACTCTCACGTACTGCTTCCGGGATCCGATATGGCTGTTGCCGTAGGGGCGTCTCTCCCTGGGTTTCCACACGGTGTACCGCAGCGGAGGTATAGCCGGGGGTAGCGGAAAACATCTCTCGGTATCCCTGCAGCAGATGGGTAGCCTCACCTTTCTCCAGGAGGTCTAAATTTTGCCCCAAGCTTACTTGGTCAATAGTACAGGGGGTGGTCTCCAGTAAGTCAGGCAGGGGAAGCCCTTCACTATCCTCTGTGGCGGGGGCGCACACGGCGCCCACCTCCTCTGTCCTTTCAAAATATGGTTTGAGCATGTTCACATGGAAGGCTTTGGTCAGCCTTTCATCTGAGCATTTGCTCACGATGTAGGTACCTCATGTAATACGCTCCACTGTTCTTCGTGGTTAAGGGCAGGGCCTGTGTGTTCCTGTTGCACACAGTGAGCAGCTGCCCTGGGTTGTTGTGGGGCTGGCCGTTCCCAGCTTCCCCGGTTTAAGCGAGGGCACTGATGCTTGTAATGTCCTGGTTGCTTGCAGTAGTGACACACTGCAGGAGGTCGAGGTGTGTTTGCTGGGTTCCGTGGGGGGTTACCTATGGCAGGTCTAGGTGGAGCCGGGTTTGTTGGAGCTGTGTACTGAGGCTTAAATGGTGGTCTGCTCGCCCCTGGCTCCTTCCTCCTGTTATCCTGGTACTCGTCCGCTAGCCTAGCGGCCTCCTCCACGGTTTTTGGTTTCCTATCTTTTACCCAGTCTTTTATGTCCTCTGCAGTATGATTAAAAAATTGCTCCAGTATCACTAGTTGCAAAGCTTCTTCTAGGGTGGTTGCCTGGCAGCCCTTCATCCAATTGCGGGCTGCCCGCTGCAGGCGAAAAGCCCATTCCGTATGGGAATCTCTCCCAGTCTTTCCCAGGTCTCTAAACTTTTTCCGGTATGCCTCCGGAGTTACCGCATATCTGGCCAACAAAATGTCTTTTATTTTCTCATAATTCTGTATGTCCCCCTCAGGTACTGCTCGCAGCGCCTCGGCTGCTCTACCTGACAATTTACTGCTGACGACTGCAGCCCATTTGGTGGAGTCTAATCCCTCCAGTGCACACTGACGTTCAAAGTCTTGCAAGTAACTGTCAATTTCCATTTCATTGTCAACAAATGATTTAAACGCTGCATAATTTACCTTCTTTGGTATTTCCCCAATACTTCTCGGGGGGTGTAGCAAATCCCCCTGTGACGCTCTGTCCCGGTCATCTCGCTCTTTTTGAGCTTGTCTGGCTTGTGCTACGACCTGCAGTATCGCCTCTGAGGATGGATTGGGTCCCAATAAACTGAGTGTCCATCGGATGTCCTTTTGCATCACGGTTTCTTCCTCTTGGTCCATCTCTATATTACTGGTATTATCGCTCTGCATTAACTCCGCAATTATCGTGGCTTTTGTTTTGTTACTTGCCACTCTGCCTCGAGCTTCCAGTAAGTCCTTTAGCGTGGTTCTTTTAAGTAGCTGGTACTGCTGAGCCATTCATTCCTTTGCTTGTTTTGAAATGTCCATTTGGGATTCGAATCCCTCCGCTTGCCACCAGTTGTAAGGAAATCAAGTATAGCTGAACCGCTTTGATAATTCCCCCTGCAATGCCAGCGTCTAGGGTAGTTCCAAGCAATGAAGTCTATAAGAAATATAACAGCTTCCCAAGATAATCCCCTTGGTAAAGCATACGAATTCCCAAATAACAGTCAGAGTCCAGAATCAGGATACAAGTAGATCTGAGGTCTGGAATCTCCAGCCTGCTTTTTATTAGGGTTACAGACAAAAAATACACACCCAGGGGGAGGCATTAAATCACCAATCAGATACAGGTTACAGCCCCTACCTCCCTCCCCTCTGATAAACAGTTAACTTCATTAAAACGTGCACTATTTTACCCCAGTTCTGGATGTACCCCAAAAACAGGGGGTACACCTTTAAATTGGGCACCGCTGGATAGTGCTCACTTGTGGGGACAATATGTCAAAAAATCAGTCCATTCGGATGAATGGTTCGGGAGTTATGGAGCACTAAAGTTTTGACCGACCGCACGGATCATCTAGCCGAAAATAGTTCCATAAGTTTTGGCCCTGCGGTCGGTCTCCGTTTAGGCGAATAAAAAAAGACGAAAGTCCTGCCATCCGTTCGCATCTTCGTGGTCGTTGAAATCCCCATACGAAGTTGCATGTAACTACCGAACGGCCGGTGATTCGGTTTTTCCCGTGCGAAGTTCTGGATGTATGGAGGTCTCAGCGGTGTTCGCCTGTTTGCGTATCCGATTTTAGTTCCACGCGTTGACGGGCAAACACCGATGTTCGCACGTAAAATGGCCGCGACCACGTGTAAAGTGCCGAAATGGCGGCCACCTAGATTTTACACGGGGAATTCGCCTGAATCCATCCGAAGGGTAGAAATTATAGCTATATGCCGAATTCCAGCTGAATTGGGTGAATTAACTGTGCAACAAAGGTAGAAATCCTGATGAACGGAGTCATTTCTTCACACTGACCCGTGCAACTGATGCCTGGCGTAACGGGTAGGTCGACTTACGGTTTGTGAGCCACTTGGACACCATCCACAGCGATAGATTGAAGAAAAAGCTGGTAGGCCGGAAAAGCCTGTGGCTGGATTTCTGACACAGCTCAGCTTAGAAAACCTCATGGAGTAAGCAGGTAAAATGGCGTCTGGATGACCCGGAAGTGGAAATCATTCTGATGCTGACCTCAAGCAACAGGAAGTGACCAAGCACTGTCAGCAAGGTATGGAGGTAAGTAGTGGGTTTATATAGGCCGGTTGCAACCCCTCCCACAACTCCAGGCTCCGCCTTCCCATATATATGATCTAAGTATATATATACACATATACATACACACACATACACCGTCTAGGTGTATTTTACTATTAATATATATATAATTATATATATATATTAATATCAAATTACACGTAGACTGATACTGATTAAATATATATATAATTATTGTTACATATATATTTATATATAATATAAAAAAAATAAAAATGTAAATACGTTAAAAAATAAAATTAAAAAAATAATTAAAAATAAATAATTAAAAATATATAGATGTGTGTTATTTAGTTCTAACTGTATTGTGAAATTAATATATATATATATATATATCAAAATACACGTAGAACGAAATAATATATATATCTATATACATAAATATATACGTATATATCACTATATATATACCTATATATAAATAAAAATATTTAAAAAAATTATATAGATATATACATATATATACATACGTATATATATATATACATATATTAATTCTACATATATATTTATGTAATATTTTTACATAATTAGGTATCTTAATTAATTACAATTAGCAGGACCTGCCTGACAACCCATGCCGAAAGTAAAGGGAATTTAATTTGCTAGCACTATATTTAACCCTATAACTTTCCAAGACACCATAAAACCTGTACATGGGGGGTACTGTTCTACTCGGGAGACTTCGCTGAACACAAATATTAGTGTTTCAAAACAGTAAAATGTATTACAACGATGATATCGCCAGTAAAAGTGAAGTTTTTTGCATTTTTCACGCACAAACAGCATTACACGGACAATATTATTGCTGTGATACTTTTTACTGTTTTGAAACACAAATATTTGTGTTCAGCGAAGTCTCCCGAGTACAACAGTACCCTCATGTACAGGTTTTATGGTGTTTTCAAAAGTTACAGCGTCAAATATAAGGCTTGCGTTTCAGTTTTTTCACATTAAAATTCGCCAGATTGGTTACGTTGCCTTTGAGACCCTATGGTAGCCCAAGAATGAAAATTACCCCTATGATGGCATACATTTTGCAATAGTAGACAACCCAAGGTATTGCAAACGGGGTATGTCCAGTCTTTTTTAGTAGCCACTTAGTCACAAACACTGCCAAAATTGGCGTTTTTTGCATTTTTCACACACAAACAAATACTAACGCTAACTTTGGCCAGTGTTTGTGACCAAATGGCTACTAAAAAAGACTGGACATACCCCATTTGCAATACCTTGGGTTGTCTACTATTGCAAATGGTATGCCATTATGGGTGTAAATTTCATTCCCGGGCTACTATACAGTCTCAAAGGCAACGTAACCAATCTGGCGAATTTCAATTTCAAATGTAACGTGCTATATTTGACCCTGTAACTTCCCAAAACGCCATAAAACCTGTACATAGGGGGTACTGTCTTACACGTGAGACTTTACTAAATACAAATATGTGTATTTTATTGCAGTAAAATCAAACAGTATTATGACACTGACCTTTAAAATGCAATTTAGAACTAAAAAAATCAAAAAAATCGTATTTTCTCCCATTTTTTCATATTAAATTATGTTTCATAGCTAAATATTTGATATTAAATGAAAGCCCTGTTTCCCCTGAATAAAATGATATATAATAAGGGTGGGTGCATTTACTATGAAAGAGGTGTATTACGGTTGGACAGACATGTAGCGCAAATGCCAGGTTTTGTTTACATTTTGTTTTGTTCACAATGTGTACATTTGGCTCCGTCCTTAAGGGGTTAAACAGAACTCAGGGTGGTCGTCGTTCGTATGTCGACCACGAGGCAGCGGCCATTTTAAATCATGCGAACGCTCAGCGGTGTTTGGCTCTATTTCTATGGAACGGAAAACGGACACTTTTTCTGTCGAACACCGCTGAAACAAGGAAACGCCTGGCTGCCTCCACGAAAGCATGCGAACACCGGCCGTTCGGGAGATTGAGAGCCTACAAAAGACTTAACCCAGATAGCCCACCCATGGAGTCATTCGTATACCGAAAGACTGTTAGAACTTTGACTCCATGGCGATTGAACTATGTGTGTGGGATCTGAGAGCTATTCGCCAATAATATGCACTCAGATCCAGGCTATCTGGGGACATGTAATACGAATGGGAAATGTTCAGTTTTCATGTAGTTATGCAATTTTATGTCTTTTATAATTTTATGTTTAAAATGGCGACTGTCCTTGTCCTGGAGTTAATTGAGTTACTTGGTAATTAACTCCAGGACAGAGGGGAGGGAATCAGAATGCACTGTGGGTAAGATATGTGACTGTGTGTCAGAAATGTCCTTCTATCTGTCTGTAACTTAAGTCTTCCATTTGGTCCCCTAGGGGAGTGTCCACCAGGTGGGAGACCTGCATAAATACGGGCAGGTAGCCCACAGTAAAACCAGATCTTATTTGACCCTCAATGCGGAGCTTCTGTCTCGTTATTGGGGGGATTTCTTCTTCACGGTTAGAGACTGCTGGATGGAACGAAAGCCGCTTTGGGGATATTATTGTTCGACGGTTCCTAGCAGTTCGTATATTGCCGTTCGGGAGTTTGGAGCCGTTCGTGGATTTCGATCGGGAGATTGCCGCTTCCCCTGCATTTGGTTCGTGGGATATAGAGTAAGCGAACGGAGACTGTACTGCAGCCGGGGAAGGTTTACTAAACGGCGGTTTGGCTTAAAGACACGGGAGGTGTCTTAACAATTGGTGGCAAGCGACGGGATGAATCCTACAGCATTGGAGGTCAGCTATAAGACATGCAGTACGAGGAATTAAGGCGTGCTACACTTAAGGACATATTGGAACGCCGAGGAAGGTCAGCAAGCAATTTAAAGAAACGGGAGATTATTGCTTTGCTAATGGAGATGGATGCAGCAACGGGAATGGAAAGAGTCAACGTGCCCAGTACCTTGGATTTAACACCCGAGGAAATACAATTCAACCGGGCAGTGCAAATAAGGCTGGCACATTTTGGCCCCAACCCCTCAGCTGACATCGTGGTTCGTGTGCAGGCAGCAGTTGCAGCACAACAGGCGGCCCGGGAAAGAGGAGCTGCAGCAGCAGAGGTACCGTATGACAATAATGTGGTTGCTAGAAAGAAGGTACCTTTTGCTGCGTTTAAAAATTTTGTGGAAACAGAGGGAGAGATTGATGGATTTTTGGCAGACTTTGAGAGGCAGTGTGCGCTACATCAGGTACCTGCAGATGAATGGGTCACCATCCTCTCTGGGAAATTATCTGGCCGGGCTAGTGAAGCTTTTCGGGCCATCCCAGAGGAGGAGATCACCAGCTACCGGGCTGTGAAAGAGGCGCTCCTAGCCAGGTATGCAGTGACCCCAGAGGCGTACAGGCGGAGGTTTAGAGAAACCAACAAGCTGGTTGGGGACTCTTATGTGGAATGGGCCTGCAGAGTCCATCGTACCGCAGCCCACTGGATGGCTGGATGCCAAGTGGTAACTGGGGAAGAGGTGTTACAAGTGTTCCTGCTGGAGCACTGCTTTGATAGACTACCTGCTGGGGTCCGGGAATGGGTCAGAGACAGAAAACCCTCTACCCTACCCGAGGCTGCCCGTCTGGCAGACGAATACACGGATGCCCGCAAGTTGGATGGTACAGCTGCTAAAGCCCCTGCCAGACTGGAGTATCGACCAGCAGTAACACCCGCTCCTGCAGTCTACCAACCCCCAGTACACCGTACCCCAGCCGCACCACCAGCTAACAATTACGGGCAACCAGCCCGATTTAATGCCCGGGAGTACTCCCAACCCATCCGGTGCTATGGGTGCAAGCAGTTGGGGCACAAGCGTCCTGAGTGCCCACTGAACAGTGCCAACCAGGCTCAGTCATGGAGGAGACCAGCTAATGGGATCCAGCGCCCACCTCAGCCTGCTGCTCACTGCCTAGAGCAGGAGGAATTTTGGGGCATCCTACACGAGGCAGACCCAGTGCAAGCGGCTCACCAGGATAATCGCCAGCAACATCGGCAAACTGTGAAGCTGAATGGCAGAGTGGTGAATGGGCTGAGAGATACAGGAGCCACGATGACACTGCTCCAAAAGAACTTGGTCTCAGAGCATCAACATACTGGGGACACTGTGGCAGTAAGGGTAGCAGGGGGTGCCGTGTTCCGCTTACCTGTTGCCCGAGTACATTTGGATTGGGGAGTGGGCGCGAGGCATGTGGATGTGGGGGTGATGAAAGACTTGCCCGCAGATGTTCTTTTGGGAAACGATTTGGCCCCTTTGGTTTCAGCCTATGCTCCGATGGGCCCTGCAGACGTGAACCCAGTGACCACCCGTGCCCAGACCCGTGCTGCCGGAACCAGCCCACTTGCTTACGAGACCCAGGTAAGATCTCCTTCCCCGACTGGTACCCCAGATCAGGTCCCCTTAAGCTGGGATTCCCCAGAGGAGTTTGGGAGGGAAACCCAGGCAGATCCGACCCTCCAAAGATACAAGGACAGGGCAGATGCTGGGGAGGAAGGAATAGATGGGGAATGGTATGAGTGGGTGGGGGACAGGTTATATAGGATCCCTAAACCGTCCCAGAAGAGTGTTGCCCCTCCACCGAATCGCCAGTTAGTGGTACCTGCAAAGTACCGGCAGGAGATTCTGCGGATAGGGCATGATGTTCCATTAGCTGGACATCTAGGGTCCCGCCGCACAGCCTATAGGATTTCACAGAACTTCTTTTGGCCAAACTTTAACCAGGCTGTGCGGATGTACTGCAGCACGTGTGACACATGTCAACGGGTAGGAAAGCGGGGGGACCACCCTAAGGCTAGGCTACTATCGATGCCTATTATAGGGGAGCCCTTTGCCCGCATAGCCGTTGACATTGTGGGTCCACTGGCCAGGGCTAGTCCATCCGGTAAAAAGTATGTTCTTACCGTGGTGGATTATGCCACCCGCTATCCAGAGGCAGTAGCGCTGTCTAACATAGAGGCAGAGACGGTTGCTGATGCCCTGGTTAGAATTTTTACTAGGGTCGGGTTCCCTAAGGAGATCCTCTCCGACCAGGGAACCCAATTCACCGCTGTGCTCACCCAGCAACTGTGGAAGGTGTGCGGCATTAAGCCGTTACTTAGCTCACCCTACCACCCACAGACTAACGGTCTCTGCGAGCGCTTTAACGGTACCCTCAAACAGATGCTGAGGACCTTTACAGACACTTGCAGAGACTGGGAGAGATTCCTGCCTCATCTATTATTTTCTTATAGAGAGGTGCCCCAGGAATCTACTGGGTTCTCCCCCTTTGAGCTGCTGTATGGGAGAAGGGTCCGCGGACCCCTAGATCTCATTAGAGGCCACTGGGAGGGGGAGACGGAGCAGGAAGGGACCCCCATAGTACCATATGTTCTGGAACTCCGGGACCGCATGGAGAAACTGTCCCTGATGGTAAGGGAGAATCTCCAGGCGGCCCAGGGGAGACAGAAGAGATGGTACGATCAGGGTGCCCGACAGCAGGTCTTCCAGGTTGGGCAAAAGGTATTGGTGCTCAAACCTGTGAAGGCCAACAAGATGCAAGCATCTTGGCAGGGGGCCCGTACAAGGTAGTGGCGCAGATCTGCGACACTACTTACTTGATAGCCAGCTGTGCAGATGAAAGGATCCAGCGGTCCTTTCATGTGAACATGTTGAAAGAGTACCAGGAGAGACCTGAGAATATTGCAGCAGTATGTGCCCCAGCTGCAGATGATTCTGAGAATTTACCCCTTCCAGATCTATTAGAAAGGGATTCCCAGACTGACCTTACTACCTTGGTACAGCTAGGGGACAGGTTGAACCCCACAGAAAGGGTGCAAGCGCAGCAGTTGTTATGGGAGAAGCAGGCGACATTCTCCCAGGAACCAGGTTATACCACCCTAGCTGTGCATAAGGTAGAGACCCCTGGACAGACCCCTTACGACAGCCCCCCTACCGTATCCCGGAAGCAGTCCGTGAAGGAATGCGGAAGGAGATACAGGAGATGACCCAACTTGGGGTTATCGAGCACTCCGACAGCCCTTGGG